TCTTAATGTGAAATGTCATGTCAAATTGTTCTTAGATACACACCACTAATCAACAGCCACACACCTTGACTTTCCTCATGTTTTGACTATTGTTATGGTCAGCTGCAAGCTGGCATATCAGGTGACGTCACGGTTTGACGTGCCTGGGTAGAATGGGCTATCCCAACCAAGTGATTAATATTGTATAGGTTCTTTGGTTCAGGGTCTTTCATCTCCATGCTGCCTGTGCGCAGGTTTGGTGGTGGGAGAGATCTGGACGTGTAATGTTAATTTTACCTGTGATCCTCTGAATAAACCAGCACGGTTATTTTTTATAAAATCTAAGTGGTCTACTTCGTCTTTGTGAGTTCCTGGTTTAAAAAGAGCCGGAAGAGGCTTTATAATAAAAATAGAGCCTATAGTCTGTAAGCCTCGCCTCCAATGCTGCTAGCATCTGACATTTATTACAAGTACCATTATTGCTAAAGGAGGCAGAGGAATAACTGAACATGTGACACTCCGAGCAAGAGAAAGGAGGAGAGGAACAGGGGGAAGCCATTGCTCTCAATTAAGCTACTAGCTTAGCTAGCTTTTAAACTGCTAAGGTAGCAAATTAAATTTGGTAGTTAGCAAGAACTTCTGCAACACAAGTGCTTAAGTGGTGCAAGTGTATGTTGTCACTCAAAAATTCAGATGAACCTAGAAAATAGTGAGTTTAATTCCTAAACAATCTGGGAGCAAGCACAACACAGTGCAGGTACAGAAAACAGGAAATGAGTACGGTTTATCGTAGAGGCAGGAAACAGCAGTCCGTCAAAGGTTCTGGTAGGAGCCAAAGGTGTGTCAGTGTGTTATTTTGAGGAATGGTGCTTTGAGTTTTTAGTTTCTTCAGACACTCTTCTGTTTCTCTATAAAATTTTAGGTGTACATTTTGTACTGCCGTTATTATGGATGCTACTTGTGGACTTATATTAAGTCAACTACAAGACCAGGCTTCTATCACATTAAAATGTAGAAATAATGACCCAGTGGATCACATTAGTTGAGAAGTGGCTTCCTGTGTATCAGAGAACTGACTGTAAAATTCTAATGTTGGTTTATAAAGTACTGAATGGTGTGGGGTCAAACCTAGAGCAACCATGTGTCTGATCTGCTGCTCTGTTATGAGCCACCCAGACCTCTGAGATTGTCTGGAACCATTCTGCTTACAATTACTAGAGGCAAGACTAAACATGAAGAAGCAGCATTCACTTTCTAGGCATCACATATCTGTGGCCCATTTCACCAAATTTGCGAAATGCAAGCTGCAATTTGCAGAGTACAATCATTTTCTCTCCTGTTAATTTTTTGCAAGTTTCACAATCCAAAACTATTTACAAACTTCTGATCCATGCAAGAGCTATAAAAAAAACTTGCAAGTTATTGGAAATGTGCAAGTTATTGGAAATGTGCAGTATGATGCTATCATTGTGAGCTAATTGCTTTTGTGAAATACCATGAGTCTATTAAAGAAAATCCCAGAAACAGGGGTACTTTTGTGTTTACAGTGACGTCACAGTGTACTGATTTGCCCTGGAGATTACATCTACATCACTGCAGCAAGGTGAGAAGTTAAACCACTGGAGGACGTTGCTCTAGGTTTGGGGATAGAACCCTGACACTTTAGGGTCACATGACTTTTTTTTTAATTTTAAAATCTTAATTTTTAGCACATAAAACAATCCCATTGGTGGTGAAGATCTCCCATATTTTTTTTCCATTCCTAATTTTTTTATTTCTCAATTTCTTTCCTTCTTTCTTTTCTCCATTTGTACTTCCTATTTTACTCCAGACTTTCCTCCATCTTTTCTTCTCTCCTCCATTTCTGCTTGCCTTTCTTTCCTTGTTTCATTTTTTCTCTTGTTCTATCATCTACTTTCTTACAAATCTCTGATACAAGGATTTTAGTCAGCAGCTAATCTAAACCCTGCTCTATTTTATGTCAAGTATTTTTACTTTTTAAATGTGTGCACTTAAATGCATTTTATCGCTAAGATATTCTTTGCTTAGTTAAGCAAATTTCTGATTGTATTACACGCAAAACAGTTTTTCTAGTATTTTATTATATAGTTTTCTCACTGTTGACGTGAAGAGTAGATTAAGAAAAAAACTGAAGTGTATTTGAAAGTTCTAACCACGTAAAGAATCACAACAGGAGTCATTCTTTCATTCTCTAACATGACAGTCAGGTAAACAACCAATAATCAGAATTATCTTAGACTCTGTAACTCGTAGGACCCAGAGAGAAAGTGAATAGACACTTTTCAGATCTGACCGGAGTATCACCCCATGATATTGTTGGTTGCTCTACTGCTGCACAAACAATTGTCCTTTGGAGACAATACAGTTATTATTGATTGAGTGATTGATTCAATAAGTTTGGAATCCTCACTACATTCTGTCTCCTGTATCCAGAAATTGTGCTGCAGTATTTCTCGACCTGGTGCTCCTCTCCTCTCTGTACCTGGCCTGGTGTCCTCGGATGTGGCTCTGGATGATGATGGCTTTCTGTTTGAAGATCTTGAAGTTCTTTCTACAGAGAAAGCCCCTGATGTTCCTCTGGATAGTGATGGCAGCCCAGGTCTTAGTGCTGCTCCACCTCTCCTCTAGCTGCTGGTACAGAAGCTCCTTGAGGAATACCTAACACACACACATGTTTAAACATGCTGATATGTACAATACAAACCTCTAAGTGTTGCTATGAATGGGTGCGTTGGTACCTTGGTGAGTCCCAGCTGGTACTGCTCCTTCTCTGCACCCACCGTATCCAGCAGAGCCACAGTCTCTTCTCTGTCTGACATCTCACTCAACTGCTGGGTTAGCAGAAAGCCATACCTGTCAAACAGGGACACATGATGTCTTTAAGTTCTTCCTGAGAGCTCATAACTCCAGAATCAAAAGATGTAAACAAAGCAAATGAGGGGAGTGCATGCAACCTGACGTACAATGACTCCTAATATCTATTATCTATTACAGTCATGCTATTATCCAATACATAATATTATGACTATAGCATCTTATACCCCAACACAGTGACATGGGTTAAACCCATGTCAGGGGGTCAACCCACATTAGCTGATCCTCTCTCATGACCCTCTTCTCAACCAGAAACATGCAAATGAAGGTGAAGTGCAGTGGCTGGATTTAGACTGAACCTGACAGTCCTGATGGATGTTTGTCACACTGGGTCAAGTTACTGCCATAGGTCAGTACTGAACATTCTAAAGTATCATTAACCATTAAATTACTTTAGTGATGGTGGTAGGCAAGGATGCTTTGTGACACCTCTCATTGAAGTAGGAGTATTGAATCCGAATGGAAAACCCTTCTTTCCTAATGTGGATGGTCTCCATGATCCCTGCATGCCTCAGCTGGCCTGACACATAGTCCACATCAAAGATCCCGGGAAGCTGACCAAAGACATTTGAAATACAATACACTATCATGCATTGCCCTGGAAATAAAACCAAATTAGAAATCTGATGTTATGAAACTAGCTTACACATTTGCATTAAAACTGTTGAGCTTACCTTGACATAGTTTGGCTTTAGACAATGGATAAATGTGGTCTTGCATCTGGTTTTAATGGGACACAGACACTGGTTACTTATCTGGCTTAATTTCAGACCTGTCTGCAACTCAGCAGCATCTGACAGCTGTAGGCACTGCAAATTCCAGGCATCTTGAAAGAGTACTGACCAAGAGGTATACATGTGACTGACACACACTAGTGTATATGATGTCTCATCTTGTGAAGTCTCTTACTCTCAGTGATGAATCACACCAAATGAACGACCATGCTCCTCATTTTTCTCTCCATGACTTTTACCTTAGCCATATTGTTGACAAACTACAAATGTTTGATTTTAAACATGTGCGGTGACACTCAGCCCACTCTATGTGTACAGTACCGTGTAATGACAGCTCTGTGCCCACCAGTTTGCTGAGTGTGTAGGTACCTCTCCAGCCGTTTGGTGAGTTCGGTCAGGGACTGAAGAAAGTGGGAGGCAGCAGTGGAGTGCTGCTGGCGGCTCCCCTTCCCTCCCCAACCCAGCTCTCTCTGTTGGATGTAACTATCATGAACTTTCCGGAACAGCTCTGACATCATCTGCCAAACGGGAGTAAGTGAAGGTAAATTGTCAAAATCAGTTTTGTTAACAAATTTGGATTTTCCTCAACTTAGGGTGAACAAACTTTGGGTTTTCACTCTGGAATACTCCCCAGGTTTGTAATGTAACCCCTTAATCTAAGAAACATAGGAGGAAGGTGTCGCAGCATACAGTGCATCGTGCCCTGCTGCGTGTGGGGCAGTGCACAATGGAAGGCTGGTAAATCAGTAAATCAGTAAGTCAGTAACTTGATATGATGGTTTGTCATAGACTAAACTACCCAACATTGCAATTAGAGCTGAAATGGTTAGTTGTTGAATCATTTCACTCACTAAAAGAAAACTAAAAGGGCAACAATTATATGATATATATTATTTAGTAATTTTTCACACAATCATTCCAAAGATTTAGCAGCTCCAGGTTGCCGTTTGGGATTGATGATTTTTTCTTGTAATTATTTTATTAATGTTTGTATACAAGCTGTGTGAAAGTGTCACCTTGGGCACACAGCACAGTATATGATGGGCATTTATCAGTGTTTTCTGACATTTAACAAACCAACCAATTTCTATATTAACCAAGAAAATAATCAGCAGATTAATCCATGATCATAAAAAATTGTTACTAATTAATAATTTAAAATTAATTATGTTGGAGCTATTTTCAGGCAGGAGCTTCTTCATCTTGTCATTTTGCTATGCTACGCAAATAGACACACATCAGCACCCTGTGTGGGTCAAATGCCACTTGGTTTACCTTTAACCGACTCCTGGCAAAAAGCTCCACCACTTCTTTTCTGAAATGGTCATGGTTCTTATTCAAGAAATTATGGACCTGGAAAAATACAGAGAATTATTTAAATACAATAGTCTTTGTTGCTGTTATTTGACACATTTGTTGTTCTGTGCCTGCCACCTGATAGGTGACTGCTCCAGCATAATGATAAATAGTGAAGACTGGCAGTGGGTTCTTGGGCTTGGCATAGTAGAGGCTGTTGCCATGATGGTAGTGGCACTTCTGGAGGAAGGTGTGATCGGTGGCCTGAAAAACACAGAGAAGGAATAACGAAAATATACACCAATATAATGGTTAGCAGTCAAATATTTTAAATAGATTTTAAAATCTTTTTAATTGTTTTTAAAGCCCTACATGGTCTGTCACTAAATTATATTAGGGAGCTCCTAGTACCATATGAACCAGTGCACTCCATACATTCCTTGGAAATGAGCTTATTTCAAGGTCTCACTTTGCTACAAAAGGACATCAGGATTTTGCCATTTGAACCCCCTTTCAAAGGACCATAAGTCAGCTGCATCTGTGTCCTCATTTAATTTAGGCCTTAAAACATTCCTTTAAAGGAGAGCATTCTTGTAGCATATTATCATGCGTGTGCTATTTCCACTTCCCACTATTGGATGTGTATCTATGTTTGCTGTATCTTTAAACATACAGGAATTTCACTCCACTACAAAGGTTCTAATTGTGTTATAAGGCAATAGGAATAGAAAATATCAAGGACAATAAAAATAAAAAATATAGCAAAAAAAGAGAATAAACAGTGTGCATATTCAAATAGGAAATGTGTGCAATTAAAAATAGTAAAGAAATTAGAGGAGAAGAGAGACAGCATTTATAAATATATGTACAGGTATGTGCCAAAAAATTAGAATATTGAGGAAAAGTCCATTTATTTCAATAATTTGTTTCAAAAAGTGAAACTTGTATGTTATATTAGTTCACTACACACAAAGTGAAATATTTCAAGCCTTTATTTGTTTCAATTTTGATGATTATGGATTAAAGACAAAAAAAAACCCAAATCCAGTATTTCACAAAATTAGAATATCATGACAAAGTTCAACATTGTAGGCTCCCTGTGTCCCAATCTAGTCAGCTAATTAATGCAAAACACCTGCAAAGGTTTCCTCAGCCTTGAAATTGTCTCAGTCTGGCTTAGTAGGCTTCAGAATCATGGGGAAGACTGCTGACTTGACGGTTGTGCAGACAACCATCATTGACACCCTCCATAAGGAGGAAAAGTCTCAAAAGGCAATTGCAAAAGAAGCTGGATGCTCACAGAGTGCAGTATCGAAGTATATTAACAGAGTGTTAAGAGGAAGGGAAAAATGTGGCCGGAAAAGGTGCACAAGTGACAGGGATGACCGCAGCCTTGAGAGGATTGTCAAGCAAGGGCGATTCAGAAATCTGGGGGAGCTTCATAAGGAGTGGACTGAGGCTGGTGTCAGTGCATCAAGAACCACCACATACAGACGTCTGCATAACATGGGCTACAGCTGTAGAATCCCATGCGTCAAGCCACTCCTGAACCAAAAACAACGTCAGAAGCGTCTGTGCTTGGCTAAGAAGAAACAGCACTGGTCTATTGCCCAGTGGTCCCAAGTCCTGTTTTCAGATGAAAGCAAATTCTGCATTTCATTT